TCTCTCTCTCTCTCTCTCTCTCTCTCTCTCTCTCTCTCTCTCTCTCTAACAAGCCGCCAGGTATCTCCATCCTTCCTGGTGGTTCCCTGTGCTGAGTCAGAACCTCACCTGGTTCCTTCTGCATCATGGGAAATTCCATGGAGGCAGGTACCTGTGACAGGGGGACACCCCCTGCCCCACCCCCTCTAAGAAGTCAGAGTTTGGGGGAGCGTGTGGCCTTTGGGCTTCACCCAAAATGACCATGTCTCTCATCCAGACAGCGTGGCCGGGTCTTCTAGCTAAACTCTCCCCTGAACAAAGGTGGTCAAGACAATCTGGTCGGGGGGGGGGGGGGGCGGTGGTTGCAAGGTCTTCGTCACTAATTGTGGTTCTAATGTGTCGAGTGGCTGGGCTTATAGATCATTTCCCTTTCTCTGACATGAACGCAGATTCAATATTGGCCCTATAATATCACTCTTACATTCTTGATGCTTTCTGAGATGGGAGCAAACGGGGTGGACTCCCAGCGAGCTGCCTGGGAATGTCCCCATGCCTCCTGGGTCTCATGTCATCCGCCCACAAGCCTGTGGTCTGGGCGCAGTTGTGATGTCTCGCTGGAAGGAAGCTTGGGGACAGCCGTGACTCTGGAAGGTACCCAAGGTCTGGACTCACCTTGCAGTTTCCAGCAATACTTCCCCACGTGCCCTGCCCCCTTCAGTTAGTGTCTCAGGAGGAATAATGATTTCAGAAAGCTCTCCAAGCCTCATACATCCCCACCGGGATCCCCCATATGAGTGTGGACCAAGGAACATGCCAGCACCACGCGGAGGGGCTTTTGCCAAAGACCATCGCCGCACAGGAGCCTGGGGTATGAATGCACCTGCTCTGTAAGTGCAGCCCAGATCAGATGCCACATTTCTGGGGAAAAGAAGCATCGCCACCACAACTCCTCTGGCACCTGTGGATCGGAGGCCAGGACCAGCATCCACGTGTTCAGAGAACTGGACTGTATTACCCCGCCCCGTAGCTGTTTTGTTTGGGAGACTCTGATTTAATCTGAGTCCCAAAGGAACAGATGTAATGTTGAATTGTATTCTATTCCACGGTGTCTGCTGTGTTTTCATTCTGTTCCATCCCCCAGGGAGTTCCAAGACCGTATCCATCCCTCTAAAATGCACCCCCTTACCACCTGCCCTTCCCCACAGCATGGGGGCGGGGGGAGAAAGGAGACGGTGGGGGTTTCCTGCGTGGGTCCTCAGGTGCCTCGCAGGAGCTGATAGCCCCACACTGACAGGCTGACACAGAGGGCAGAGCGGAAGCTCCTGACTCTTCTTTTCCTCACAAGCCCAGTATTGAGACCAAAAAGAGATATGAGAAAAGAACCTTCCAGAATGAATCAGTGGGCCGGGGTGAGGCAGGTGGCTACCTGGAGGTTGGTCCGTCGATGTCCCCATGAGAGCAAGCACGAGAAGGGGGTGCAGCGCAGCTCCCAGGACCCCTGTGGCCTCCCTCTGCCTCTTAAGCCTTTCTTCTTTTGCTCCTGGTTCAGTCTCTTCTGCTTCTCCAGGTCTTAAAGCCTGACCTTCTTCTACTGGGCGCCCCGCCCCCCAGACCCACCATGTCCTTGACTCCCTGCCTGCTCTGGCTTGCTCCGTCCTTAGAGGGAAAAGAAAGGGTGGCTCTGGGTCTGGACAAACACACAGCGTTTTATTCCTCCTTTGGGTCCAACAGCTTCGCCAGACTCATGACACCCCATCTCCCCCGTCCCCTACACCCATCGCTTTGTGATTTCAGTTTTGGTAGATAGATGCAGACAGCATCTCTAGCCCTCGGAGATCAGGGGTCCCTAGATCCCCATCTGCCCCCCCGTCCCCTACACCCATCGCTTTGTGATTTCAGTTTTGGTAGATGGATGCAGACAACATCTCTAGCCCTCGGAGATCAGGGGTCCCTAGAAAACGACATCCCAGCCCCCCAAACGTGTCTGATATGAAATGTGCACAAGGGGATGGCCTGAGCACGTACCTGGTGGAGTTTCTGGGCCCTACCAGCTGGAGGCCGTCGGGGCTGGAGTGCGGGGAGGGCCCTGAGAAGGGGCGGGAGGAGAGCAAAAGAGCAGTTGGCAAGGACACTCTGGAGTGGCCTTCTGAAGAGCAGAGGAAGGGCCTGGGCTGAAAATGATGGACATTTCTCGGGCGCTCACTGCATGCCGGGAACTGACCTAAGCACTCAATCAGTAACTCACTTAATCCTTCCCCAAACCCTGTTCTCAGGTGCTACTGTTTCCATCACCCCTACCTTACAGATGGCAGAAGGGAAGCTTGGGGGCACCAAGCTAGGACAGCATCAAGCCAGGATTGAAATCCAGATGATCCAGTTCCTGAGGTCACACCCATTACCCCCACCCCATTCAGCTCTCCAGAGGCCCCAGGGTCGCTGTGGTGGACTCAGGGCTGCAAGGTGAGGAGAAAAGCAGGAGTGCAGTTGGGGTTGGAGGGACTGGCGGGGAGACAAACCAAGCAGGGGCCCCAAATGCCCCAGAACCAGGAAGGTGGCCAGGAGCCAGGAGGAGAGACAAAAGGAGCCACCAGCCAGGAATGGACCCAGCATGCTGAGTGCCTCCTGAGAGCCAGGCATCATGCTGGGGCAGTCACATGGTAGGGTCAGAGGCAGGAATTGGGGGGTCTCCAACGGCCAGCACAAGGTGACAGTGTCAGAGCAGTGTGGCCTTGGTACCTCCAGCCTTTGTCTCATAGGCCAGGCTCTTCTGCTGACCAGCAGGAGGATCTGGAACCGGTTTACACTTTGGCTGTGATGTCCTCACGTCACATCACAGGACAACGTCATAACCCCCTCAAAAGTTCAAGACCACGTCCCATAGGAGTGCTTAGAACCAAAGGATCTATGTCAAGGTCCAATGTCACTTTTGCAGGAAGCAAAGTGGCTGAGCTCCAAGGCTTTCTGTAGGGAGAGGGGCTGGGGGCTTGTCCCCCTGTTTCTCAAAAGGCCCTCCCTGCCTCTTTTAAGACTAGAAAGGTGACCCTAAGGAGCCTTGGGCCTCGTCTCTCTTTGACGCAGCTAAGCTGGTGGCCACTCATCCAGGTCTTACCTCCTGCCCCGCCCGAGATCCCTGAGCCTGTGCTGTCCAGCACCCATGGGAGTGGCCGGTTCCCATCTGAGCTTTCTGTCTATGCGGACTGCTGTCCAGGGCCCCAGGAGCTATGCCAGCAAGCCAGGCCCTGGCTCTGTGCCGCCCACTCCCTCGGGTCTCCAGTGGGGCCCTGCTCTACCTAAGGGACTCTGCTCACTTCTCCCTGGAGCGGCAGGTGCGGGAAGGAGGGGCTCTCCTGGTCAGATCTCCTACCTCAGGGAGAAAGAAGGTTCAGCAAGGGTCACCACCAGCAGGGCGCTCCGGCAAAAGCACCACAGTGAGTGATGGGCAAGAACAGGATCAGCAGTAACCCCACAGTCCCACAGCTAAAGAGGTGTGGATGTAAGTAAGGGGCATTTTCCTGCAGGGCTGCAGGGGAGGGAGGCCCAGAAGGGGAGGGACGCAGGATTCTACTACGGCAGTATCTGTCTAACTCACTGCCCAGCACGTAGGCTCTGATCTCTACTCAGAAACGGTCTCTGGATCTGGCCCTCGGGAGTAGCCGTTAGCCCAGCATTTCAGTCCCCTGGGCACGGACCGTGCGTCAGACATTGGATCTGAGGCTGAGGGGATGAGAATTCATGCTCAGACCCGGCAAGCAGCAAACTGGTCCTCAGAGGAGGGGGCTGCGGGTCGCTGATTGTGGGGCAGTATGGCAGGGCTGGAGGGAAGCAGGGGCGCTGTGGGAGGACAGAGGATGGGCCCCCGGGCCAACCCGGCTCCAGTCGGCCTTTCCCGTCTCTGGGATGGTGCTGTGCCAGGTGATCACGTTGGGGATGGGGAGGAGGAGACTGGACCCAGGGGTCAGCAGTGGGAGTGCCCGGCTGTTGGTGGGGGGCTGGGGGGCGGGTAGGGAGGTTAGCACATAAAAAGCCACTCCCTCCTGATTACATTCACTACTCTATTTCACGGTCTTGGTTTTCACTGCTTCTTCCAAAACCTTTCCCTCATAGCCTCCGAGTGTGTTTCAAAGGCGCCACTTTTAAAGAACATGCTCGGGGTTGGCAGGGGGGTGGGGGGGATTCCTTCCTCCATGTGACTACACTTCTGTCCTGAGACCCTCCCGTCCAAAGAACAGTGGTGTGAGTCGCCCTGTCCCGCAATGTTGTTCTCTCTGCGGGTTCTGCCCTAGACCTCACCCGTCCTCATTCAAACACGTCTCTGAACGGTTTCTTGTTGACAATGGCTTCAATTGTCCTGTGTGCTGTGAGTGCCCAGATCTATCCCCATTTGTCCGAATGCCATTGGACAATGTGTTAGCTCCCTATTGCTGCTGTAAAAAAAAA